GACAGTAAATAATATTTTACTAGATATTTTTCAAGACACCTTTATAAAGCTTTAAGTGACATTTAAAAGCTTAACTAGGTTAATAGGCAAGTTAGAGTAATTAGGCAAGTTACAGTAAATCGATGGTTTGTTTTGTAGACTACCGAAAAAAATTTAGCTTATGGGGCAAATTTTTTTTTACCTTAAAATGGATTATAATAAATTAAAAACTGCTTTTATTCTAGCCGAAATAAAACAAATAAGACTTCACTCATAACCATCATTTGAGAAATATTTTAAAAATTAAAAAAAATACAATAATTAATAATAATTCTAATAATTCTGTATATACAGTCTTATGCAAAGGTTTGTCCACCCCTGATAATTTTCATAATTGCAAGCCATATATGGATATATAGTATACCCTATGGGAAAAAGCAACATTTTTTATTTAATCAACAGATGCAATGCAATTTAAGTCTTAACAAAAACAGACAGGTGCAGAATTTGGGCACCCCAACAGAATAATAACATCAGTATACTGAACGCAGTATAAAATAACAGCCTGTAGATGCTTCTTATTGTCAAGGATAAGTGTCTGAGTTTTTTTCTGAAGGCATTTTGGGTCATTTCTCCTTGCTGAATTTTTCCAGTTCAGTCAGGTTTGATGGGTGCCAAGCATGAACGGCCCTTTTCAAATCAGCTAATAGATTTTCAATGATGTTCACGTCTGAGTACTGGAACGGCCATTCTAGAACATTGTATCGTGTCTGAGAAATCTCCTTTAATCTCAGTTTAACTCAGTACTGTTACGCTACGTATTTCTGTCCTAATAACACGCCATTATCTAGCTTTCTCTAAAAACCGAATGGCATTTCACTGCAATCTTCTCTTATAAAGAAAGACCACATTACTAGGCAGCCACAGCGGGGTGCCCAAACTTTTGCATAAGACTGTATTTGGGGCAGTACTTGAGGTTTCCACCAGGTTAAATTAGTTTTATGTCATTTCAAACCTGTTCGACTACATTTCTTCTGCAAAACAAGAGACACATCGAATAATGTTGATATGACAACAAAAGAATTTTATCATTGACTTTTGCCATTGACATGACATTTCTGTAAAGGGACAGTTCACAGACACACACACACACACACGCACACACACACACACACACACACACACACACACACACACGCACGCACGCACGCACACACACACACACACACACACACACAAACACACACATCACCACTACCCTTCTTCTATAGAGACTCATTCATCCTCAGTAACAACTACAAAAAATACAAGATGACAAGATGAGTTAATAATGACAGAAGTTTCATTTTTAGGTGAACTCTCCCTTTAGGAACACACTTGAGATAGGTAAAGATACATATTTTTAAAATAACTGAGAACTGACTAAATAGTATAATAATAATAATAATAATAATAATAATAATAATAATAATAATAATAGTAATAGTAATAAAAATAATGACGTCAATTTGTCCTTCAACCTGTTTTCCGAAGTTCAAATGTTGAAGTGGAAAAGACTGCACTCGTGTTTGCATTTATATATATACACATAGAACTTGATGTGCATGCATACACATTACACAACACTGATGAACACATGCAAAGTGTGCTTTCTAAGTTCTGGGTTCAAATGTTTGCCACGGCCGATTTCCAGGCCTGTTCAATGAGTGAATGAAGTGAAGGTACTTTAGAAAGGCACACAGCTAAAGTGGTTGTTATGTAATGAGTCCTTTCATCCAGAATGCCTGCAGGGAGGATCGTTTTTCACTCGGCTTTGCCAACTCATTTCTGCCCCCCAGTGAAACTTACTTGTTATATCATCTTACGCGATTCCGGTTTTACATTTGTTGAGTCTCGTCATAAAATAGTACTTTTGTACATTATTAACCATGTGCGAGATGACAATATCGCGTATATGTCACCCACTTTATAAAAAGGGTGTTTGTTTTTAGATTAGTAATCTAAAAAAATGAAATGAATGTAATTAGTACTGTAAATACTACAGTGTTTTGGAACCATAAGTGCTTGAATTAATCTGTTGTGGAAATGTTAAAGTTGCTATGGGAATATAAAACAACAATACTGTTACCCAACACTGTATTATGATTTCTATAGCTAAATATAATATAAAACAACACACAGCAGTTTACTGTAGTAATTACTGCATAGCATGCATTAACCAGTGTTTATCCTTTCATTTCTTTTCGGCCTTTATTAATCAGGGGTTGCCACAGCGGAATGAAGCGCCAACTTATCCAGCATATGTTGCCCTTCCAGTTGCAACTTATCACTGGAAAACCCATACACTTTCACTCACACACATACAGTACAGATAACCTAATTCACCTATGGCGCATGTCTTTGGACTGTGGGGGAGACCGGAGCACTCGGAGGAAACCCACGCAAACACGGGGAGAACATGCAAACTCCACATGGAAATGCCAACTGATCTAGTCGAGGCTCGAACCAGAGACCTTCTTGGTGTGAGGCGAATTTTGTGAAGATGGCTTTTTTCTTGTAGGCTACACAGATATAGTGACATGATGAGTTGTTGTTGTTTTTGAACAAGTGTGTGAGTGTTTGCATCCACACAAGATATAAAAAAAATATATATATATATATATATATATATATATATATATATATATATATATATATATATATATATCTTTTTTTTTTTTTTTTTTTTGGAAACCTGTTATGACTTTTATATAATAATTTTACCTTTGGAAGATAATGGTTTTGAACATTTTTCAAAATATGTTATTTTGTGTTCAACAGATAAAGGAAACTCATAAATGTTTGAAACCACCTAAATGTGAGTAAAAAGTGAGTAAGTTTTCATTTTTGGGTGAACTATCCCTTTAAGACAGGGACTTGATGCCATCTACTGGTGGTTTTAGTGTCAAATATTTACCAGTCAAGGTACCAGCACAAAACACTTCCATAAATTATCCCATACATTTTTTATTTATGTATTTTTATTTTTTTATTTTTGTAAATATTTCACAGTCACTAAAGGATAGCTCTCCTGAAAACTGAAATGGCTTAGGTTTTATTGCATTAGAAATGTTTTGTTTGACTGAAGCTCAGAGCGAGGACTCAAATGATCAGTTGTTTAATTACAGCCTCATACAGAATGAATGGTTATCTTGTCCCAGGGAATGAAACAAATAACCATCATTAAATGTGATCTTGCTGATCTGTGATTAACCCCGACACATGCAAAACAACTATTTTCAATCAGTTTTATCGGTGGATCTTCAGACATAGAAACCTACTATTCAGCTAGATTTGTATCCGCATGTGGATGATCCATACATTCATTAATTTTCCTTCGGCTTAGTCCCTTTAATCATCAGCGGTCGCCACAGCGGAATGAACCTTCAACTTATCCAGCATATGTTTTACACAGTAGATCCCCTTCCAACTGCAACCAGTACTGGGAAGCATGTGGATGATGTTATCTCAATTCTAATTTTAAAAGCTGTACAGAATATGCATGCATTTATTTACTTATTTTTTTATTTGATGCCACAAGAATGAGGTGTTTGTAGCCTACATAGTAACATTAATAACTCAAATAGAGTAGCATAACTGTCAACATAAACTGTCAGATGTAAAAAAAAAAAAAAAAAAAAAATGGCATGATATTAGTTAAATATGTTGACCTTTTAGAAAAAAAATTGTACTAATGCATGATTTAACCACATTTAGTGTGACAAATGTGAGCTATCGGCTGAGTAAAATTATTTTATTACATTATCCCAATATAATGGTAATAAGCGTCATGGTGGCTCAGTGGTTAGCACTGTAGCCTCACAGCAAGAAGGTCGCTGGTTTGAGTCCCAACTGGGTCCGTTAGCATTCCTGTGTGGAGTTTCATGTTCTCCACGTGTTCGCATGGGTGTCTTCTTCAAATTTTGCCTTTAGAATGCAGGTATTTCTTAATCCATTTTTTTTTAAATACACAATTAGCAGTGCTGACGTCAAGAATATTGAGACCACCGTCTTCAACTGGATTGCACAAAATGGTCTTTTTTAAATAATGTGGTCTGTTCCTCCAAACAGTGGAATGAACTTTTTTTTTAAAATTCATGAATGAAAATATACAACCACAATCAGGAGATCAATTAATAAGTTACATTAACTGCAAAGAGAAGAAAAGTCTAACAAAACAAAGGGCTAAATAAATTAAAATTGTGTATGAAGGACATTGTGTATGAAAATGTATGAAAATAAATGAATTAAGAGCATTACATGAAAGTTATCTAAAATCTGTGTAATGAACTGTTACAGCCATTTTTTAATGCAATGAAGAACATTACAAAGATACAATATGAACAAGGAGACAAAGAGGGTTGCGTAAATAAAATTCCTGCAAATTAAACAAGTTTAAATGATTTACACCAAGAAAGTGTTGTACATGCAATGTAGTTGTTAGAGTCTTTTAAAGAATTAACATAAATTTCAAAGTACATTTACATTTATGAATGTAAAAATTCTGCTTTTAAAAAGCAATAAATTAATAATAAATTTACAATGAGAAGGATCTACATTCAGGGAGTAGGCCTAACCAAAGAATAACACTTTGGAGGAAATACAGAAGTTTGGAAATAAGAATTTTTTAATGAAATTGGAAAAGTCAACCCAAAACACTTTATTACACTCCCCAAATAAATGGTTAAGTGTTTCATCATATTGAGTACTAAGTGACATTTAGAGGAGATATTGTTAATAAATTTAGCTAGTTTGGTATTTCTTTGGTAGCAATTATGAATGATTTTGATTGAGACTTCAACAGCTTTATTAGATAATTTTTTTTTTCCGAAGAAGCCAAAACTGTTCCCAATCTATGTCATCAAATATAGGCTATTATTAAAAAAAAAACTATGCAAGCAAGTAACGATAACTGTTACAACCAAGCTTACAACAAGATAGCAATGTTTGTCGTCATTTTAGCTCCGCCCCGTTTGCCTTTGACCCTCCCGGCGCGCCTGTGCTGTGGCGGGAGATTCCAGCATGGCGGTGCAACCTAAACAGAATCTGTCTATGGACAGCGCGTCTGAACATGGATTCCTCAATTTTTACTTTTCGATGTCCGACAAACCAGACACCACGGTGCGAGTGTTTGATAGAAACGATTACTATACTGTGCACGGGAAAGATGCGATTTTTGCAGCTAAAGAGGTTTTCAAGACTAATGGAGTCATCAAAAATCTGGGTTCAGGTTAGTGATCCGCTTATAAATTGTTACACAATAGTCATTATCTCTTTAAAGATATCATCAACTATTTCTTTCAGTTGTGCAGATTTATGTGTTTTTGTGAAGTATCGTAATTTACGTTATTGTATGTTATATAAGTGTTGTTTTTATTATTATTAATTCAGGGAACAGGAGGTTGGAAAGTGTGGTCCTCAGTAAGATGAACTTTGAGTCATTTGTGAGGGATTTGCTGCTGGTTAGACAATACCGGGTGGAGGTTTACAAGAACGCCAGTAAGAGCAGCAAAGAGCATGACTGGCAAATCGCTTTCAAGGTACAGTATCAAATGTCCTCTTTCATTAACCATTCTTTTATAAAATTGAGTTAAAGTTGTGATTATATTGGTAAATTAGTTCATTTTGGTACAGTGACAACTTGTGACAGGCCACTGTAAATAATGGCTCTGAAATCCCATGTAAGAATGACTTCAGCACAACGTTAGCGCTATTTAACTGACTGTGATTGATGCTGTAATTTGATAGCCAGTGGCTGCTAATATGATTTCACTATTTAGAGTTTGCAAAGAATGCTTTTCTGAAGTTATATTATAAAGGGAAAAGTCTAAATGTGTGATTATAAAACCAACTTTCTCAATTTTCCTAAATAAGGATTGGCCTATTATTGTCGCTTTACTAAGGAAGCATTAGTCATATAAAACAATCATAGTTTTTCTTTTTCGCAGACTTCAACAGTGTAAAAATTTTGTTGGTTCTGTCAGTTTTGTCTATCCAATTTGATCTTTATTTTGTGTTTTCTAGTGGATTCGAGTCAGGTGATTAAGCCATTCTACAGCTTTTTTTTTTTTTTTTTTTTGGAAACCATTTGAGATTTTTCTTGGCTGTGTTTTGGATCATTGTCTTGCTGAAATGTCCACCCTAGTTTAATCTTCATCATTCTGCTTGTGTAGATGTTGGACTGAAGTAGCTGTTATTAATTTACTATGACAAAGGGCAGATGGTTGCTAAATAACTTCTGAGAGATTTCAGCTGCTGTCTGGGCTTTCACTGCCTTTTTATGTCCCCCTTTCTTCATATGTTCAATACTTTTTTTCCAGGTTTCGTTTTATTACACATAACTTAATTTGTAAACTAATTAGATTTGTTTTCTTTTCATATGTATTTCTTTGGTAATCAACATCTAGTGAAAATTTCAAGTCAATGGCACCTTTAGAAATATGTTTTCTGAGTGATGATGAAAATGGTGACATGTTGAATACTTATTTCCCCACTGGATATGTGTTTATGTATGTATGTGTATGTAGGGAGAAAGTGAGATCTTATCTGTTATTAGTGAAAGTGGAAAAAACATGAAAGTCAAATGTTTAAATACTTTTACCACGTTATTACCACATTTACCCATTTTTGTTAATTAAAAATATTCAAAGAGATTCAAAACTTGGTTTTCATCAAAAAACATACCATCACCATAGATTGAGTTATTAGTATATAAGAATATAAATTACTTTACATATACTTTACCATTTTATTACTGCATTTACATTTTTAATAATGTTTTTTTAAAGTAAATAAGGTTAATAAATGTAACCTTTGTAAAATAAAAATAAATCTATTGGTCAAAATGATCCTTTGGGCTAATTACTTTTCTCTATCCATCAACTGACCAAGCGGCTTGCTTACTTACCTAATTACTTGCCTACTTACCTAATTACTTGCCTAATAATTTACCTAATTACTTGCCTACTTACCTAATTACTTCATTACTTACTTGCCTTCTTTACCTACTTATTTACCTATTACCTGCCTATTTACTTGCCTAGTTACCTACTTACTTGCCTAATTATTTACCTAATTACCTAATATCTTACTTGCCTACTTACTTGCCTACTTACTTACCTAATTATTTACTTACCTACTTGCCTAATTTCTTACTTACCAAAGCATGCTGCAATCACACTAGAGTTTGTGTGTGCCAAATTCTGTCGTGCGGCTCTGCGAAAATGTGCTGGATTAAACAAGATGATTAGACATTTAAAAAAGCAAGCGGTTGCTCCATGTTTTAAATTTCTGTCCAGAGAGGTCATGCTTTAATATCTCAAGTCAAGTGATGAGATTTCGCAGGTCAGAGTTCACCAAGCTTGAACTTTGCACTGCAGCGACCTGCGAAACTTGATGCATGACTTTGCATTTCCGGTCTGACGCATTCGTGTAAGTATAAATGGAAGTCTATGGGGAGAAAGGTTCTGTGTGACCGCAGCTTTACTTACTTGCCTACTTACTTGCATACCTACTTGCCTACTTAATTGCCTATATACTTACCTAATAAAGCTGCGGTCACACTAGAGTTTGTGTGTGCGAAATTCTGTTGTATGGCGCTGCGAAAAGGGGCGGGAATAAACAAGTTTATCAGGCATTAAAAAAGCGAGCGATTGCTCCATGTTTTAAATTTCTGTCCAGAGAGGTCATGTTTTGATCCTCGATTGGTCTCACACAGTCAAGTGATGCGATTTTGCAGGTCAGAGTTCACCATCTTGAACTTTGCACTGCAGCAACCTGCGAAACTTAACGCATGATCTAGCGTTTCCAGTCTGACGCATTTGCGTGCGTATGAATGGAAGTCTATAGGATGAAAAGCCCAGTTTGACTGCAGCTTGACTTACCTACTTAATTGCCTATACACTTACCTAATGACTTACCTGATTACATACCTAATTACTTACCTAAGTACTTGCCTACCTACCTGCATACCTACTTACTTGCCTACCTGCTTATTTTCCTACTTACCTACTTACTTATTTACCTACTTGCGTACCTGGGGGCTATTCCAGAAAGCAGGTTATGTGACATACCCGGGTAAGTTTGAGAGTAAGTAGGTGGATAACCTCAACTTTGGTTCCAAAATCGGAGGTAACTTCTGGGTATGTTAAGTAGCCATAGCAACTTACTCTCTGAAGATAACCTGCTCCGGAGCAGGTTATGTTCAGAGAGTAAGTTGCTATGTTTCAGAGTTTGTCTGTTTCAGAGAGTTTACTGAGCATTGCGTGCTCTTTTGATGAGAATATTTATGGATGTGGACACACAGATACAAGTTTTTTCGTTGTGAGAGGGTTATAAGTGCATAGCTTTTTTCATAACCAAATTCATAATGTTAATGTATTTAACAAACCTTTTTGAAATCAAATGTGACAAACCGCGGGTCTGCGCTTACCATAAAAAACATTCAGTGCAGCTCTTTGTATTCGCGTCAGGGCATTTTAGGCAACTGTACAATGTGGCAGTAGGACCACCTGTACAGTACGCCTGGCACTGAACTGTTTTTTACACTTTTGTACAGTTCCTTGGTCATACATTACTGCGTATCATTACACAGATGATTCAGAGCACAGGAATAGCGTAGTGGACAGTGCGTCGATAAAGAATAACGGAGCGCACAACGGAGCGAGTTCGAATCTCACTTACAGATCTTGTGTTTTTTCTCTCCTTCTGCACCCTCACATTTTTCTGTATAATATTATAAGTGGCAGCTTTGTCTTTTGTAGGAAAATATATCTTTAATTTAAGATGTAGGACGTCGTTCATATATACATTCACGCACACACACCTACATTTTTAATATAATATTCTTTTCAGGGTTTCTAAATGCTATTGTGTGCATTAATTGCAGCCAATTTTAAAGCTCCATCAGTCACTAAAGGACACTGATAATATAAAATTTGTCCAAAGTATAAGTGTGCAGGTACAACTTAATTTTCTATCCTTAATCTTTTGGTGTTTCAACTATTAAACTCATTACTGCTTCCACTTACCAGCTCATCACACACCCCACCTCATCACTATATGTTGAGGCTAAATGGCTGATTTTCAGGAAGTAATGATTCAAGTGTATAACACAAATATAGTAAAAAAAAAAACTATAAAGCAAATGTTGCTTAACACAATGTTTATTTTTATTATATTTGTATTATAAAATAGAATCATTACTGGGCACTACATTGTTACTTGCTGGAGGACAAAAGATACCCTTTTCTGCCTTATACGATGACACGTACCTGCAGCCTGACCCAGAGGAAATCTCAGTGACCCAAGCAGACAAAACAGATGGAAGAGTGCTAAAAATATATTATTAATCAAAAAACTATGTTTAATCAAATAGTTTGGTCTGTTCATTTCTTCATTTCCTGAAATAAAATGAATGATTTTGTACACTGCTTTATACACGCACGTTTCAACGTGTAACATATTTTTCATATACATTTCTCACCTTAAGTTGATGCTCATGTGACTTTATCTTTGAAGATGGACCTTATACAGCTACTTTAGAATTTAAATATGTAGATAAAAGATTTTGTGATCCAAGAGTAATATGCAAATATGGAAAAGTGCAGAAAATTCTTACACTGCTTGTTAGTTGAGGCAGAAGGAACATCACTTACAACAGTAACAGAGTGTGTGTTTTAAGTCAAAAACTCAACCACTGAAAAGCCTTTATTATAGGACACAGCAGTTAGAAAGGCCTCTTTCTATTAGCTGCATGTCAGAAAGAATATTCTAGAGTGTTAAATAAAGAGCTCCAGTAATTAAATATTACCTTTTATGATAATGTTTCTGTGTTTAATGACTTTGGACAGAGTTCTAGCTCCAGAAAGATTACAATTTCTATAAGCCTTATTTGTCAATACACATATTGTGGCCTTAAGAAATTAATGGCAAGAAAAATAAATGCATGAATGGTTACACAACACACTCAAAGGATGTTAAAGAGAAGTTTAATTGTTCATTACAATGAATAAAATGGAGGGTGGCATGTGTAATTTAATGAACTAATAAATTTTCTTATTATTTATTTTTTATTTTCTTATCTATTTCTTATTCTATATTTCTTTCCTTCGTTGAAGCAGATGTGTAATCTCTGTGTTTAAAACCTCCAGCTCTGCCTCTGTAAAGTGCGTTGCCCTTTTTTTTTCTCACCGTGACTTTCTATGGTGACTCGTGAATTCGGCGATCTACTGAAAATGCCTTCAGGTGTGTGACGTGCACGCGCATTAACCCGCGGTTATCTTCAGGAGGTTGATTTAACTAACTCTTGTCACCTGTTTTGGAACCAACATACTCGCGGTAAGCAGGTTTTGGGTAAATCAACCGAGAGTTTAGGTTTTAGCAGATGGTAAGTTAACCCAGCTTTCTGGAATACCCCCCTGTCTGCTTACCTACTTACTTATTTACTTACCTACTTTCCTACTTACTTTTTATGCATCTCTTCTAGGTCAAAACTAACTTTAATCATTATGAGGGCTAAATGAACTTTTCCTGCATTTACCTGGTGTTTGTTTTGTATTTAGGCATCTCCAGGAAACCTTACTCAGTTTGAGGAGATTCTGTTTGGCAGTGGCGGAGGGCCTGCTGAGGGTGCTGTCGGTGTGGTGGGTGTTCGTCTTGGCACTGGCACTGATGGCCAGCGTGTTGTCGGTGTTGGTTATGTGGACAGTACCCTCAGGAAACTTGGTGTGTGCGAGTTCCCTGATAACGATCAGTTCTCCAACCTGGAGGCTCTACTTGTGCAAATCGGCCCCAAAGAGTGTGTGCTTCCTGCAGGAGATTCAGGAGGAGACCTGGGCAAACTTAAACAGGTGACTTTTAATATATACTGTGTTTAAAAATTAAACAAGATGGTGATTGGTTGTCAATGTTTTTGTTATAGTTTTTTTATACTTACAACTGTATATTTATTTTTGTAATTAATATAAACATAAAAAACACTTAATGTTACACTTAATCTTTAAAAAATGCTCTGGTAATTTTTTTTAAGACACTTTGTAAGCTTTTTTTTTTACATTTTCAAAAGCGTTCAGTAGTCATCATAATATCATCATATGTTTTAAAGGAACAGTTCTTATTGTTTATTTTAAAACATTTATGCTGCTTAATACTTTTGTGTAAACCATGATACACTACAATCTAAATCTATGTTAATAAAAAATAAACATGACTTGAAAAAAAAAAGATTCTTTAAAGTAGAAAGCATTCAATACTAAAAGTGAAGACTATTTTTTATAATGTAATAATGCTACAAGTAATTCAAAAGCTATTTCAAATTTAAAAGTGTTATTTTAAATGTATTGTTTTAAACTGTAGAATGCTGAAAAATATATGAGATTCCCACTGAGCACCAATTTAACATATTACAAGGATTTCTGAGAAATAACTGCTAAGAAAATAGTGTATTAGCGATACCTTACTTATAAGAGGTGAATACTTAGTTTTAATTTAACGATAGAACATTTTACAATGTTTTTAATCAAACAAATAAATACCATTGGCAAGCATAAAAAATAAACATCATAAATCTGAATGTTTTGCATCCTTTGACATGTAGTATATCTATAATCATGCTTAATAAATACTTGTGGTTGTTGATGATTCAGGTGGTGCAGCGTGGTGGCATTCTCCTCACAGACAGGAAGAAGTCAGAGTTCACAACTAAAGACATTGTGCAGGATCTGAATCGGCTACTGAAGGCCCGTAAAGGAGAGACTGTGTCCAGCGCTGCCCTGCCTGAGATGGAGAAAAAGGTTTGGGGATCTGCCACTAGTGATAGGAGAAACTATGCTTTTCAAAGCTTCAAAACAATTGAATGAAAAGATTTCTTTTTTGAAGCTTTTGAAACATCGTGTCCAAGGGACACCTTGTGGTCATAACATTTAAATGCAGAAAACCCTCAGGCAAAACTTGTTAGTTGACTTTTTCAAACATTGCAAGCTTTTAAATTAAAAGTATAATATATAAATGCACTTAGCCTAAATTTCCCTAATTTCTCTAATTTCATCAAATATTAAGTGTCCTTAATAGTATGTGTACAACCCAACCCGACTATTAACCATTCCTTTTCATTTTACAAATGTCGCATCAAAACATCTACAGAATAATAAAATGGATCAGTGATTAGGTAAAAACTTTCTTAGAACTATATTTCGAAGCTTACCAAAAATTTTAAAACTGTAAAGATGTGACAACCTTTTTTACTGAAATCATGTGATCCTGCAGATTTGCTTTGCTCAGAAACAACTGATTCAATGCTAAAGATTCATTAAGGTTTTGAAGCTTCAGAATGCAGCATTTGCAACCCATTTAAAAATCAGTGTTCAGTTTGAGGGGGTTTTGCCTGGAGATTTAATCATAATATCACCTTTTCAGATTGCAATGTCTTGCTTAGAAGCAGTCATCAAATACCTGGAGCTTCTCGCAGATGAGGCCAATTTTGGGTCTTTCAAGATGACCACCTTTGACCTCAACCAGTACATGCGCCTGGATAATGCTGCTGTACAGGCTCTCAATCTCTTTCAGGTTAGTGCTCATTTAAAAACGAGAAATAGGCCATTTCTTCAGCTAAGGCTACAATCTATTCTTTGTTTCTGTTATTTTTCAGGGTTCCTCTGATGATGCTACAGGCACTCACTCTCTGGCTGGACTTTTGAACAAATGTCGGACTCCACAAGGACAGCGACTGGTCAACCAATGGATCAAACAGCCTCTCATTGACAAAAACAAGATAGAAGAAAGGTGAGACTTTTGACACAAGCTCGTTTAAGTCTGTATTAATCCATGGTTTATGTAATAGTAATGTCTTTTTAAGACCTCTGTAATATAGTCTTTATATTTAAGTGATATTTCAAATGATTGTGCACAGATACATAAATCAAAATGTTGTTATGCGTGTTATAAATAATGTACTTTTTTCCCATAATGAGACCCTTTATTTTAAAAGTGGATGTCATTTAAAAAGAAATGCGTTTATAACTGAATTTATGTTAATGTAGTCAATATGGCATAAGTTTTGAAATCTGTAACATTATATAAGATTTGCGTTAAATCAAGTAACATCCTGCTGCTATACATAACTATTGTAATAATAAAATAGACCTGATACTGATCGTACTGATCTGATTATTAACGTTATTGAAATTAAAGCTAAAAGGAGCTCACTCACTGATTCTGACTGGACAACTTTTGTTGCTATTGTTATGCTCAATATACTTGTATATCAGTACGATAATAGTTATATAATTAGTACAATACAATTAGTATAATAATGATTGCAGTGATTTTGATTGTTTACATTTACAATTTCACATTATGGATAGTTTTCTGATCAAACCTCTGAATTGCAATCATAATGAAATCTTTACTTCAGTTTCACAGCATAATTTAAGATATCGTTTTCTCTTTGAATCGAACTTTTGTAACATGCAATGAGACTATACCTTTGCTTGTACATGCTTAGACTGGACCTTGTGGAGACATTTGTGGAGGACTCGGAGCTAAGGAAAAGTTGTCAAGAGGATCTACTTCGTCGCTTTCCTGACTTAAATCGGATGGCAAAGAAGTTCCAGCGTCAGAGCTCCAATTTACAGGACTGTTACCGGGTCTATCAATCTGTGGGGCAACTGCCCAATGTGGTGCTGGCACTGGAGAGATACAGTGGTAAGCAAAACAACAACTTTATCAATAATCGATAACATTAAGCCTGAGAATCCTTATAGTTTTAAGGTTTAATTCACTCATCAAGGATTCTTTCTTGACTTGTTTGACTTTCTTTCGTTTATTGAACTGAAAGAAAGATATTCTGAAGAATGTTGGAAACAAGCAGCCAATGACGTCCATTGTATCTTTTGTTCCTACTATGAATGTCAATGGCTGTTTTTATCCGATATTCTTCAGAATATCTTGAGGTTGTTTGGTCAGTAGTAAAAAGTAATCTATAAGTTTAAAAAAACGAGTTAACTATTTCCTTTTTGGGTGAACTATCCTTTAAAGCCGGGGTCCAAACTCAGTGTGCGGGAGAGTTTAGCTCCAACTTGCTTCAACACAGCTGCCAGGAAGTTTCTTGTATATCTAGTAAGAGCTTGATTAGCTGGTTGTAGCTAAACTCTCCAGGGCCGAGTGTAAAAAACCCCTGCCTTAAAGAACGATGCTTTTTATGGGACAACATGAGTGATTTTAATGTGTTAACAGCAATGTAAAGTTACAAATACTCAAATGACTGTAATTGAGTATTTATTTTTCCTCAGGAATTGAAGTTTTAAAAATGTAAAGCGTTAAAAGGGTCCAAGATGATGTCAAATCTTTATGCTCAATGACCCATGATGACTGAAGTTGCCAAATGACCTTAAACAAAAACTACATGCACTACAGAATATTACTTTTTCACACACATGCAAACACATGCATGTAAACACATAAGCCATTCACAGCGTAACACTCACTACTCTTGAGTACTTTTAAAATGGTTACGTTTTACTCATACTTGCGGTATAATTTAAAACAGATAATTTACTTGCGCTACATTTTTGGGCAAGTTATGTTACTTTTACTTGAGTGATTTTTCAGTACTCTTTCCACCACTCTGTGTTAACAGGAAAACATCAGGTCCTCCTGCATGCAGCATTCATCTCTCCACTAAACGACCTCATCTCAGACTTCTCCAAATTTCAGGAGATGATTGAAACCACACTGGACATGAACCAGGTCTGCTCTTGTCTTCTATCTTAGGGTTTTGCTTCTGTTTACATTTTATTCACTTATACAACAACCATTTGCTTTTATAAAACAAAGAAAACTAGTGTATTGCACTTTCATCTCAGTCTGCATTTCAGTAGAAATGTCATTGAAATACAAACTAAGTCAGAACGAAAAAAGTATTCTGTTTTGTTGGCAGATCATTTAGGGTATTGATAAGGTGTTCCTAAAATTTGCACAACGGACTGACATTTCCACATCCCTAAATAGGACACTGCACAAAATGAAAAGTGATTGGTTCGTTAAACTGTCACTCATGTAGCATCATGGGTGGTCCTTGACCATACATAGCAGACAAATTGTCCAGACTCCAGACCTGATGGCTATAGAAGACTTAAGTGCAGCGTGATAAACAGGCTTTGAGAACAATCTGTTGTCTAATCTTTCTAATACTGTTGTGTTATTGTCCAGGTTGAGCATCACGAGTTTCTGGTGAAACCTTCCTTTGATCCAACTTTGAGTGATCTCAGGGAAAACATGGATCGTTTGGAGAAAGCCATGCAGGCTGCCTTGAGCAGCGCAGCTCGGGAGCTTGGTAACTGAACCTAGTTTAGATTCCTGTTTAAGCATTTCGATATTAATCTTCTTGCATCTTTCTTTTTTTTCATTTGTTGATCTGTGCCTTAGGGTTGGAAGCAGCCAAGACTGTGAAGCTTGAATCCAATGCACAAATTGGTTATTTTTTCCGAGTTACGTGCAAAGAAGAAAAGAGTCTTCGCAACAACAAGAAATTCACTACTTTAGACGTTCAGAAGAATGGAGTACGGTTCACTAATAGGTAAGAGAAATGTTGTATGAAATGTTTAACCCTTACAAGATTTAAAGGTCCCATGAAATTAAAATTAGATTTTTTTAGATGTTAATATTGGTATTGTTAGTTTTTTAGGACATCTAGAAGCTAGTGCACAGCAAGAAATTTGCAATTAGAACAAAAATCTGATGCAAACATGTAAGGTTTGTAGTTTGTAACTTCCAACTAAATGCATCAACGATTTTACTCACGTCAACTTATACTTCAGTTTCTCATCAAATTGTGACCAACCAAATGTTCTCTTATATCTGACATGCCCCGCCCCCTTCAAGACGCTTCACATTTGATCCACTTGAGCTTAACCACTCGCTGGCAAAGGGGTGATAAAATAAAACGCTATTGGCTGTTTAAAAAGGGAAAGAACTACACTATCTCCCACACTTTCTTCATGTTTCGTATGAGATTAGGTCAAACATCAAATAAAGTTGCACATTTCAAAGCTCTTCACAGGACTTTTAATACTTCTGTAGCTGCATGAGTTTTTTAATGTGACCATTATTTAGAATGCATTGCTAAAGTTTCCATGATTAATGTATATATTGTGTTTGGATTTTTTTTTTAACTTTTTTGCAAATATTGACAAACCTTTTAATTACATTATGAAATATATCATATTCCCATTCACAAATATGTATAAGAATGTGTATTTCTTTGTTTAAACGGCTTAATAAGGATATTTTTTTGATATGTGAATGGTGATGGGCACCATCATGATAATTTACGCTGCAGGAGAGATCAGAACTGCTGGATTATATTAATTTATGGAACATGAGTGGCGGATTAACTTAAAGAGCAACAAAGTAAATGTTCTAGTGACATAAACAGTGTATATGAAGTGAAAAAAGCACATCGTCCAGCTATATTTCAATCTAATTATTACTCTCCATAGACAGCGTGGATTTTACAAATCGTTAGTGTTGTTTTTCTACTTATGTGAAAACACTGATAAATTGTGATTGACAAGCACCATGCTTCTCTTTCCATGTCTCAGCACGAGTGAGAAATTTTGACTTCAGCAGTTGATGACGTGTGTTCTGAACATATTAATCACACCATTGTGATGTAAGGTTACATATTGATTCAACCAGTGACTAGCTTTATAAATGATGGACCTGTGTCTGTTTTGTAGTAAGCTTAGCTCGTTGAATGAAGAATACACAAAAAGCAGAGAAGAGTATGAAGAGGCTCAGAATGCCATCGTCAAGGAAATCATCAGCATTGCTGCAGGTGAGCTTTTTATTAATGTTCACTGTAGTTTTAGATTTTTTTTGGCTTTAATTATAAATAAGGAACGTCATGGATTTAGTATGTCACTATGATAGTTAAAACATAAATGGAAAGTTTCATTTTACAAGATGTTGGTGACACTTTTTTTTCACTAGAACATTAAAGGAGGTATTTACCTGAAATTGTTCGCGGTTATTAATAAAACTCAAGTCCATGACCTCTGGCACTTTGAGAGTAAAAAAAAAACATTTAGGCACAACCAATTCAATATCAATATCTCCTGATTATGCTTTATTAAGCTAAATTAAATTGGATGTTAGCCTTTTTTTATCACATCAAACTGTTCTCAGTAATACTTTAAAGGGCCATGAACACCCCCACCCCCTGTGTCAGCAGGGTGTTTTCACACCTCTAGTTTGAAAAAGGTTGGGAAAGTGGGTGAATCCAGCTTTGTTTAGGTGGGAGTGTTGAGTGGTGAAGGAGAGAAGGGTTTGCATGAAATAGGGAGTTTTATTACCAGGGTCCCACGGGGTCTTAAAAAGTGTTAAAGCCTTAAATTGAAAAATCGAAATTTATGGATTTAAAAAGTCTTAAATTTGCTGTTCTAGGTCTTAAATATTTTTGCACAGGTCTTATTTTTGCGATGTCCATGTAATGCTACATCTAATGCTCATTTAAATTCTTTTTGTTGTTGTTGCTAGGTTTTTGGGGTGTTGTAGTTCTTTATTTCACTAGTCCAATTGTAATTTGCGGTATTACAACTACAAAAAGGTCAACTTGCAATAGCCAATCAGCTTTCTTTTATTAAACTCAGTGCGCGCGGCGAATGTGACATCATCGCTGTGTTTGCGGAAGTTCGCTTTGAGTGCGCGCAACATGATTTCGGCTGGCAGAGTATGCCGTTATTTCACTGACAAATGTCGCAAGCGCAGTTTTATAAGTCGGGAGCGCTGTAATACGAAAGAGCGAATCTCTGTTCATGTTTCCTTTGTTCATGGACAAAACTGCTTGCCAGCTCTCAAAACACTGGCTGCTCACGTGCGAATGATCTGCTCTCGCTCTGTCGGACTCCTTTCGTGCTTTTGCTCTCCAGAGATGCTTCAGCATACTGTAGTATTAAGAATAGTGAACTGATAAAATGAAATACAGTGTAGTTTTACTACAGTAAAGTGTGTTGAATTGTTGAAAAATATACCCTATTTTGTAAAAAAAAAAAACTAAAGCACTGGGTAGTTTGTTTTTAATACACTTGTTGTGTTACCATAGCAACTGTAGTATTACCACAACAGAGTAATTAAAGTACTTTACTGTACTCTACAAAACACTGTACAGCAGACACTAGTTCACTTCATTTTAGTGATAAAATGGGATTGATAGTGGGATTTATTTGAAGAGTAAATAGTACAGTAGGCTATAATACCTAATCAAGTTTTTACCTATTTTCTATCTTAGTTACATTTCTGCTTGCCAGAATGACCAATAATTATTGGCTAGAAATTGCAACAGCCATGGGAAAGGAGGAAAGTTTTTGTAAAACTTTGGAAAAACCTGAGGGATAAGCTTGTTAAAACAACAAAAAAGAGGCCCCCAAAAACATCTTCAATGATAATGATTATCTTTTTATTCGTCTGATTTTACTTAGTTTTTTTTTGGACCGCCCCCTGTCATTTAAAAAAAAAATATCTCAATGGTGAACGTGTCAAGTATAAAAGCTTTAATCCGTTTCGTGAGTTGTGTGATGCGGTGCCAGGTGAAAGTATAAATCTGCATTAAGATGTGCAATGGTGCATTTAACCTGACTTTAGTACTGTTCAATTTAAATAACTTTATTTTACCTCTAATTTTGTGCTTTTATATTTTCTCTTGCGTGTTTTTGATATTGCGATATAGGTCTTAAATTTAATACTTAATGGTCTTAAAAAGGTCGTAAAAGGTCTTAAATTTGACATTATGATATCTGCAGAGACCCTGATTACGTGTACTACAGCAGATTTTCACACCGGCAACACAAACACAGATGCAGGGGATATAGACAGTGATTCAAAGAGCAGCATTTACAGCGGATCTGAGTGCTGTTTGGAAGTGAAGGATTTTTAGTCCATAATATTGTAGTGATATTTCTGTAAACTCAGTAACTAAATCATTTTGACTAGGTTATGTCTTTAAAAACTGAAAGTACTGCTGACGATACTAATTAACTTCTCCATCTGTATAAACATGAGCAGAGAACATTGATCACACACTTACCAAATCCGCAGACAGGACAATCAACACGAACTGAAACCGCATCCTTTTTAAAATAAGACTAGTGGCAAATCCAGATTTCACCATCTCCAGATGTGAAAAGCTCTCTTTCTGCAAAACATGCAAAAACAACCAATTTTCACTTGTTGGCTAAATATATTTGTCTTAATCGTGTTTTAGCAGCGTGGGACACACTGTTATGTGGGATGACTGTTAACATCTCAAAAAATGCATTTTGGTGTTTCGTGACCCTTTAAAGGTGCAATAGGACATCTTGGACAATGCTAATGTTAGCCTGATAGCCCTGAAATCCCACCAAGCCAAGTGCCATTCAAAACCAAGCCTAATGAATGCGCACTAGACAACATCACTACAATACATCATATAACATTCACCAAAGGGAAACTTTATAGTACTGTTAGTGATTACAATACAAAACTTTAAAAAAAGAGGGTTGGTTGTTGATGTTTGCCTGCCATTATCAGTCTGAACTGCATCTGTGCATAATTGCCTGTAATCCATTTTGTACAAACAGGGTGCATATTTTGACTGGGAGTTAGGACAGCCTCGTAGCCATCGTAGTGTTCGGAACAAAAGCTTGGATTTGACAAACCTTTGCCATCAGGATGTAAAAAGAATTTCAACCGCATAACAAAAATAGTTTGTAAAGACCTATTGCTTCTGTAATGTTGTTGGCACTTGGAGTATGAATAATGCACTTGTGTTTGTACCGTAGGTTATGTGGATCCAGTACAGACTCTGAATGAGGTGATCGCTCAGCTGGATGCAGTGGTAAGCTTCGCTGTGGTGTCACATGCTGCCCCAGTGCCTTTCATAAGACCAAAAATACTAGAGAAGGGTTCAGGCAGACTCGTTCTGAAGGCAGCAAGACATCCCTGTGTTGAAGCCCAGGATGAAGTGGCTTTCATTCCCAATGATGTCACCTTCATAAGAGGAGAGAAGATGTTTCATATCATCACAGGTGAGCTCTTTTTTTATTGAAGGATTTGTTTTTTTGGGATGTCAGCTTGTACACTTTTAATTGATCAATATTTGTTTTAATGAACATTTGAGTTATCCTCAATTGTTTATCTTAATAATGCAAGACATGTCCATTTCAGTGGAACATTGTCACTGGTATAACAGCATGTGCAAATTACACTCAAAACATTAGCAATCCTACCTAGTGCAAAGGCTGGTTGGATCATTGAAAAGAAATTCTTTAATAGACAAATGTATGATTAAATTCAATTAACATGCATAAAACATGTCAAGAGTGCTGTCTTAGATTTACACGGTGACAGCTAGTGAATGTGTGCATCCATATGAGCAAGTAGTTTTCCAAACTAAATAAAACACATGAGGAAAATCCCTTTATTCATATTTCATTAATCTTTACCTCACATGAATAACACTGCAATAGTTTATACACAGTAGTCAACAATTGAAGTGCATCAAAAAGGTTTTTCAATATTTTTATAATACAAGAAAGGGTGGTTGAATAGTTTTAGGATGAAAGGTGATGGTCCACTTCTAATGTTGACTAACAGTGTTACTTAAGTAATAGATTACAAGTTGGGAAAACTATGTACAACTATGGAAAATTGTAATTTGATTACATTACTAATTTTACTTAATGTAAAAAGTAATCAGATTTTTATGTAATAATAATACATTTTATTTATAATTCTCTTCTCTCAGATCTAAAGTAATTACAAAAACAGTAAATAACAACAAAGCACACTAAAACAATAAAGACTACAGTAAACTGTGAGAATAAAAAACATATCACAAATTAAAACAGTCCTAAAAAGATGACTTTTAAGCTTCTTGAAGCAGTCCAAGGAACCAGCATTCCTAGTGTTTGTGGGAAGAGCATTCCAAAGTTTGGTTGCACAGTAAGAGAATTTACAACGAGGCTGATACAGTGTAGAACCTGAAGTAGAGTGTAAACAGCGAGAGGTAGAATAAATAGATAACAAATCACAAACATAACCTTGAACAGAACCATGAACCGCTTTATATATTAAAATCAATGTCTTAAATTCAATACAAGACTTAACGGGCAGCCAGTGAAGCTGTTGGAGTACAGGAGTAATGTGAGGCTAAGATGATGTTTGAGTCAACAAACGTGCTGGAGAATTTTGGATGTATTGTAAAATCTTGAGAGAACTAGATAATTACTAATGAGTTACTCTTTACTTTTAAAATATATAAAAAATACAAAATAAACTGCAGTTCTTTCAATAATTTACACTCACTGAATACCATTACAATGAGGTTTAACACAGAAGCTTGACAAAGATTTAAAGAGTTCACCCAAAACTTAAAATTCTCTCATCATTTATTTAATCTTCACTTGTTCCAAACCTGTTTGACTTATTCTTTGTTTTTGTTTTGTTTTTTTTTACACAAAAGAAGACATTTACAGGTATCCAAAAAATGGATACATGTAATCATTGACATTCATTGTAGGAAAAACACGTAGCCTACTATGTCTGCTGTTGTGGTGACGAACTGTAAATGCTCAAATGTCGAATATGTGAAACCTGGAATGCGTGTACATATGGCTTTCAATATGGAACTATTGAATTGGAACTATCGAATGTACACGATACGTAAACAGCCCCATAAGCAGCTATGCTTCAGATTCTTTGAAGTTATCTTTATTCGCGATCTTGCACAAAATCCTTTTTAGCCTGTTTTGGCTGAGTTCGACTGCTGTGCTTTTGAGCACTGTTGTCCTCCTTGGCGATGAGTGTTGTCGTAGAACGCTTTCTGTTCAAGTTGCTGGTGGAGTTAAAAGCAGTCAAAAGTTCTTTAGAGACTGGACATAGACTGCAGATCACAGTAATACTTTTGTTTTTTTCGCTCCTTGAAATTAAAGAAGCAAGCACTCTCGTCAGGAGCTATTTCATCTCACATTTAAAGCTCCAGGGTGTCTGCGAGGTCTTGAAGTCTTAAAATATCTTAAATTTCAAAAACAAAATTTTGGGCCTTCAAAAGTCTTAAATTTACTGAAATATTGAGTTGTAGGTCTTTAATCGTTTTAAACAGGTCCTAATTTTCCTATATCCAAGTAAAGATACTCTATTGGACTGACACGCAATTACCAATTATCCATCTCAACTTTTTTTTCTCAAAAAAAAAAAAAAAAAAAAAAACAAGATTAAAACAAGAAACAAAAAACAGCTAATAAACATTTTACAGCAAATTCTCCAAATTAAATTGCCTAAAATTATTTACAGAAGTACTGGCCCATTAGAAAAAATCCCTAAGGTTTAGCCCTGTATAAGTCTAATTTAATTTATAATGGCCTTAAAGTCCTTAAATTGACCCGAAGAAACCTGCAGAAACCCTAATGCTCATTAACTGATGTTGTAGCTGAAAACATGATTACAAAAAGCACTCTTTTGACTATGTTGGTAGGCAAGTAAGTTCATGGGATGAATGTACAAGTTGAGTTATGTGATGATTTACATTTCAGGTAATTGGTGATCTGGAAGTGAACACAAGAGAGTTTTATTTATATTTTATGTTATATATATATTTTTAGTTCTCGATCAATAATAATGCACATTGATTAATCGTTAGCATTCCAGGTTTTGGGTTATGAGTTCTTGCATTAAATGGAAGAGTCATGTATTTAATCATGTGGTTCTCGACCACGTTCCTGGAAGACACACCTGATCCATGTAAAACATGCAAAGGAAATTTGCAGAGTTGGAGGGGCTCTGGGAATGTGGTTGAAAACTTAAATTATAAGTGTTTTTCTTCTTGGTGTTTAGGTCCAAATATGGGTGGTAAATCTACCTACATCCGTCAAGTGGGTGTGATTGTGCTGATGGCACAGATAGGCTGTTTTGTGCCATGTGATGAGGCAGAGCTGAGCGTGGTGGACTGTGTTCTTGCTCGAGTAGGTGCGGGTGACAGCCAGATTAAAGGAGTGTCCACTTTTATGGCTGAGATGCTGGAGACAGCAGCTATTCTTCGGTTAGAAGTCAACTTTTAATTTTTTTAAGTATTTTGAATTCCTTGTGTGCATCTTAACAATTTACACTTACAAAACATTGACATTCTGTTCCCTTTAAATTAACTTTTTAATTTGTCTTGATAACGGCTGCAGAACTCCCTGTGAGTGCATTTAATGTTTTATATTTTAACTTTTTAGGTCAGCCAGTGAGGATTCTCTCATTATTATTGATGAATTGGGCAGAGGCACATCCACATATGATGGCTTTGGTCTGGCCTGGGCGATCTCAGAGTATATCGCCACCCGCCTCAAGTCCTTCTGCCTGTTCGCAACTCACTTCCATGAGCTGACGGCGCTGGCACAGCAGGTGCCCACTGTCCGCAACCTCCATGTCACCGCGCTGACCACAGACAGCACTCTTACCATGCTCTACAAGGTCAAAAAGGGTATGTGCCAGTTTAAACAAGTTTTGTGCATGGTGGTGTATAATGATTGGTGTGTAATGCTGAAACCCATCAAAAACAAACCAATATAGAAAGAACCTCTAAAGTTTGAATGTCAATATTTTGGGTCCATTTCACCACATGAATGCATCTTCTCTCAACAGATGATTTCGATTTTCAAGTAAATATGCAAATTTAACTTGAGTCACATCGACTAAAGCACTGACATAGGTTACGTTAAATAAATCGTCAGATACACTGCATTTTTTTAATTTACTTTACATTTTATTTGGTATTCAAATTATTTAATTTGATGGCTGTAAAACATTACAAATGCACAAGGCGCGCTCCATAATTTCTTTTATTATAAGCTAAATGAATTTTATGAATTCTCTCTACCGTTTAGAACAAAACAAACAAAACGGCAATAAAAAAGCAAACAGACACTTTTAAAGGAACATGGAGACAAAAAAGACATACAAGTGTCAAAGGTCACCGGATACAATCTTATTTACATTCGTATTTATTGTTTCTAAAATGTTGCTATATAAAATTTTGTTATTTGTTACGTGTCAGATCTACAGGCTCCAAACATATATAAAATAAAATTACCACAATGAAAAACAATGCATTTCTTCTCAGCCATTTACCCCAGTATGCAGAAATTTTATAAGCTTGTTGTCTGAAGTAAAATGTCAGTACTTCCATGTCATACACCTTTTTAACAATATACCATTCGCCTACAGATGGAGGATCTTCCTTGAGCCTTTTCTTTGTAATTACCATTTTGCTAGTTGTTAGTAGTGTTGAATCTATACATAATTTTTTTGTATTTCTGCAGGGTAAATTCCCAGGTACATAGTTTTAAAATTACTTTCCAGATTCAATCTCATTATTGCAGTTATATCTTTATTTAAATCTTGCCAATAGGTGTGTATAATATTACAATCCCAAAACATGTAGAAATAAAGAACCTGTATGCATACATGCGCATATATATATATATATATATATATATATATATATATATATATATATATATATATATATATATATATATATATATATTAGGGATGTGCGGAGCAGCCGGTATTTGTATTTGTATTTGTTGAGGGGGGAAAAGTATTTGTATTTGTATTTGTATTCGAGTAAAATTCAAAATGACGCAAAAATATATATTTTTTCTATTACACTTCTAATTTACGTTATAGTGAAAGTATTGTTCAATTATACCCATTATATAAATTATAGATATGCAATATTGGTTGTTGTTTTTGAACATGTGATAAGAAATGTCATTGAAAAGAAAATAACATAGAAGCCATTATCTCATCCATGGGTAAACCAACAACTAATAAAATACCATTGTGAATATTATGAACCCCACCACCACCGTTCTTGTTGAAGGACACTGAATAGACAGAATAAAAACAAATAATACTTCAAAAAACTGTTCTTCTGAAAGAACTTTTTTCCAATGGACAGAATTTCAAAAACTAATATTAACTAAACAAATCTAAATAAAACCCTGCCTGGGAGATCTGGCAGAACAAAAGTATTCTATATAATACTAAAAGATACAGCACTGCTATTATCATCTGCCTGCCACAAAAAAGACACAAAGTTTGTTTGTTTGTTTATTTAGAGATATCTGCAAATATTTTTCAATGGAAGTCAATGGAGAAATATGACTAGTCAGTCATAATATATTTGCAGATATTTCCAATCTGAATTATAATTATGACAAGTCAAAATATAATTAGAGATATCTCTAAATATATTTATGGATAGTCTGAACAAGGTTTAAATGCTAAAACGGCTTGCCATACGCACAGTGGCACAGTGGAGATTTCTCTAGTTATATCGTTTCAGTCGTTTGTTATGCAGTGACATGCAGTCAAATATTTCGCCAAACAGTCCTTAGGGATGCAGTGACACGCAGTTAGATATTTTACCGGACAGATCCGCCACTTTTGGCGCGCATAAACAATCATAAAGCTCTCGTGCTGCAGGAATGTGGAGGTCTGCTGAAGGCGCACAGCTGACGTGCAGTGAGAGGTTTGTGTCTTTAATAAACTACGGCAGTTTGCGATCACTGAACAGTAAGAATGATTAATAAATCCATATGAAACAGTCCCTTAAAAGTCACGTCTCGCTTTCAGTTTCGGGCTTTGGCGCGTTTTGCACTGAGCGTGTGTCTTTCTCTCTCTCTCTCTCTCTCTTTCTCTCTCTCTCTCTCTCTCTCTCTCTCTCTAGCTCTCTCTCACTCACTCACTCACTCACGCGGGCATGCACTGTGGTCTCATGAGGAAACGCTGCTTTTTGATATAGTGTTTTTCTTGCTCCCGAATACAAATAATTTTTCAAGTATTTGTTCGAATCAAGTATTCGTAAAAACACGCTATTTGTGCCTTTCCGAATACCGTATTCGGGTTCGGCTCCACCCTTAATATATATATACAACAGTTCTGTCTGGTTCTCAAATCTGATTGGCTGATAGTCGTGCGATATTCTGCAATATCCTACAGCCTCTTCACCCTTTGTGTATTACTCCACCCACATACAACCAGCAAAAAGCAGACACTACAGATCTAAAGTTTGAAAGATGCATGCTCAACTGTTTAACTGTTATCTTATGATTTGAATTCGAAAGAAAGTAGTTCCTCATACAAAAGGAGACTCTCCATGTTTGATTTTGTTTTTATATACACAATTATGCCGTCAAACTGTTGTATAAACGCAATATCACACTCGTAGCAGTGAGATATGGCTGTATATCGGCACTGGTTGTGGCACTAAGGCACTCTGCCTGCGGCCTCGTGGCAACGCACGCCTCCCACCAGTGCCGATATACAGCCATATCGCACTGTTACGAGTGTGAAATTGCGTTTATACAACAGTTTGACGGCATAATTGTGTGTGTGTGTGTGTGTGTGTGTGTGTGTGTGTGTGTGTGTGTGTGTGTGTGTGTGTGTGTGTGTGTATATATATAAAACCATGTACACATTTATAGACATCAAGCCTTGTGTTACTGTAAGTTTAAAACATTTCCATTTCTCCACCATATCTATAGTAAATAGCCTAAATTGGCAACTTCACTGATTTATGGTTGCAAGGTTTCTAAATATTACGTGATACCTTTTTACCTACGTCTGAAGTGCTTGAAGCGTGACCCGTTTTTTTTTTTTTTTTTTTTTAGCTGTACTGATATATGTGGTTGATTTGACTTAGGTGTGTGTGACCAGAGCTTTGGGATTCATGTGGCGGAGCTTGCTAGCTTCCCCAAACATGTAATTGCAAATGCGCGGGAGAAGGCTTTGGAGCTTGAAGAATTTCAAGACATCTCCAGTGTTGGGGAGGAAGCAGGACCCAAAGCCAAGAAACGCTGCATGGAGAAACAGGTGAGAGGTGTTATTGAAAGAAACTTGGCATTTGCTGTGCAGCTCATTGGAGTTAATAAACTGATATATGCTGTCTTGTCAATTTACCCACAGGAGGGAGAGAAGATCATTGAGGCTTTTCTGGCTAAGGTTAAATCAATGCCTGTTGATGGGATGTCTGACAAGGCTGTCAAAGAGGAGCTGCGCAAACTCAAGGCAGAGGTCATCAGCCAAAACAATAGCTTCGTCAATGAGATAGTGTCACGCTCTGGCAAGGTCAAACTCAGTTCAGCCTGAGGGTTAGAAGTTCAACGTTTCTGTAAAACTGTTTGTGGCATAATGGAAATGGATACAATCTATAGTAGATTAGAAAAAGGTTCCATTTTAATACTGTCTCTTTGGTTTCAGCTGTTGTTTTTTGGGGGGTTATATTGTAGACCACATTCTTGTGCGTTTTTCAACATAAATCATCCAACAGACTAAATATTTTCTAAATCAGATTTGTGTGTGTGTGTGTGTTGTTGAGTACAATCTGAAATTTTGATAGCGATAATGTCGCCATCTAATGGATAACTTGAGAAAATGGATAAATTGGGGAACTTGTTATAGTTATAAGAAAATAACCTGGGACCAAACTTGTTTGTTAAACTTTACATTTTGTGCTTGAGTCCAAATTCAAAGTCAAGAAGAAACCAAAAGGTTGTTTTTGTTCTTTATCCATGTTTTCATTGTATGAGAGGTAATTAGGGCAAATGGGTCTTAATGAAATGCATGACCTTTGAATGTCAACATGCGCATTGACAATATCTGTGCAGTCGTAATCACAATGGGCAATTTGATGTTGTAATGGTATTCTTGAATGCATATATGGGAACATTTGCCCCTTCTAGACTCATGAATCTTCAAATTAAAGATACACATTCAGACCTGCCACTTTAACATGATCAAATATCACATGTTTAGTTTAGATACTTTTGTTAGTTTTCATTCTGTAGTTCCAGGATTTTTAAACTAAGGTCTGAGCACTCTGGAGAGCTTAGAAGATATGAAAAACATTGTAAATAATGTATAAAAGATGGAAATTACAGAAAAAATCTTTAAAAATGTATTATAGTAAGTAAATAAATTTAAATTAAGATAACTATAGTTGAGTAGGATAAAAATATGCAGAAACTTCCCACATAGTGTTGTAAATGTATTTATAATAGTTTTTATTTATAAAAGTACAAATGGTGTCCTCTCTTTAAATTGGGGTTCCTTACTAGATTGTCATACTTGGGTAAAAAATGTAAAAAAAAAAAAAAAAAAAAAAAAGCATCTTTCCATGGTTTAAACGTCTCAAATACTGTCTGGTATCGGTTATTTATCTTAAACATCTTGAAGCAGCCAGTGTTTTAGCTGGTCTGAACTAGTGGCTGTCTATCAGATTGTAAATCTAACTGAGACCAGGTTATTAACCTGATTACCAGTTTGTACTTTTAAAAGTGATTAATTGTACTTTGAGTTGAAATGTATTAAAGATAGCTAAATGCCACTGCTAGTGTTCTTTCTGGAAAAAAACAGTGGTGCCCCCTTGTGCATGTTCTCCATGTCCATGTTAATGGCTCCTCCTGCTAGAGAGAGAGGGAGAGAGAGATACGGAGCTCAGCACAGGGGGAGCTGTCCGAAAAAAACACACCAACAACACCCCGAATAAGAAAAACTGCCCCGGGTTGGTGTCCTTTTTCGGTGTAGACTGGTAATTTGACTTGTTTCAGACCTGAAGTATTGTGTAAATGCTAAGAACAACAGGATAAGGTTCGAGGGAAGCGTATTTTTTCTGGGTAAAGTCACCTCGCCAAATGAACTCCGTCAGAGCGAGCAGCAGGAGACCCAGGCGAGTGTCGAGGCCGCGCCCGGTGCAGCCGGAAAGAAACAACGCAGAAAGAGGTGAGACGGGGACGTTTAATTCAACAACAATTCAATGTTGTGTTGTGTCCTGTACGGTGCTTAATCTATCAGACTTTACACGGCCGCCCCGAAAACGCACGGCCTGATTAAATAGGCTTGTGTGCTGAACGTCGAGGCGTATATATACAGGCCAGGCCGCGCTTTGTTTGGGCTTCAGGAGCCAGAAGCGTAAACGGCTTGCTTTTAACACACTCCCCACATTTCACCGTGACTTAAAACCTGGTGACAAGATAAATGCTCATTTACTTCCGCTAAAAGATGGCTCTTGAGGGTTTTACATGGAAGGGAGACGTTAGAAGTGGATTTAGGTTGGAAAATCTCCGCTGCGTAGCTGCTAGTATCCAGTGTGGGCTGCCATTGATACACAACACTGTTTGGTTTACATCTAACAGAACCACCGAGTGCCAACCAGACTGAATTAATACCTTCAATTGCGTTGTGTTTGTTAGGACTTGGATAGCTTTTAGCGCGGTAGCTTTGAAGTTAACTGTTTACATACTGCTAGGTAGCAAGCTAGCTAACGTAAGTAGCTGCGTAGTCGAGCTCACAGCGAGCAAATGGGGGTGGATAAAGACTCTCTGCTGTTTTGTTGGAGATACGTGCATATTAGGGTTTGTATCACATTGCTGGTTATTGCTGCAGGTTTTTAGATGCCATGCACAAGTCCCTTGGGTTTTGCTGGTGGAGGTGGATCTGCGATGATCAATCAGAAACCTTTGTTTCCACGTTTAGCTGGGTTACAGACCCCCCACTAACAGGCTTTCAGGGACAATTCATTGATAAAGTGGTCATGCATTGGGTTTGTATTCTCTTCAAGCACCATTGGGGCTTATTGATTGATTTTAGACCAGTAGTGATCAGTGCATTTTGACAACATCATTGTTTACGTTTGACGTGCAGCAGTGGTGTTATCAGTTATTAGTTATTCTCTTTCAATGAAAACATCAGCCTGACCAGGGTGAATATTAGTCTCATAACATTTATAGTTTTTTTAGTGGAAAATTCATCATCTTAGTGTTGTGGGATTACCATCATTGTATTATTGTCTGGTGCTCTAGTAAGGAAAGACTTTTAGAAAGTAAAATGATGTATTTCTTTTTATTTGTGTATAATATCGTCTCCTCCATGATGCTATTTGTATGTTGTATACATTTGCAGACTATATCGGTGTATAGTGAGTGATAGACAGACAGAGAGAGTGAGCAGAGTCATGGCTGTACAAATATGGACTTAATAAACAGGTGCTGTCTTGATGTTTTGCCCTGATAAACCTTTGTTTTCTTGTCTTTGTTACTGTTGGACAGTCAGCTGTTGAGTTGCTGTATAATTCGTGACAGCTCAGAGTCAAGCTTTAGCTGCTCTTCTCATCTTTCACTTTTGGATGTTGTCTCCAGGTACCAAATGTGCTGTAGAGAAGGACAGACTGTAAGGCTCTCAGGTGATCAGTACACCAGGTATTGACAGGTAGGTAGGGTATGTGCACACACAAACAGGTGGACAGGTAGGGAACTTTGACATTTGTAGCTGTATAAAGCAGGAGTCCTTCTAACGAAATGTATTTAATTGTAATCTATAAGTGTTGCACTTCAAAACTAGTTGCATAGAGAAGCCAGACACTTGTTTATTAAATAGCAGTGTGCAAAGAAAATAAAAAGCAAGCTTTGTGGAAGTATGGCAATGAAGAGTTTTCCACAAATGTTTGTCGTTCTCACCAACTGATGGATGGAAATGCCGCCTGCACTGTAGTGGTTTTGGAGAAGCCTGACAGTTTGCTTTTTTTAACTGTTTTTCTTGCACAAATGTTTCTGCAGGCGTAGTTTGCAAAGTGAACGGTGGAACTTGGGGTCTGAGCTTGTGCAGGGCAGGTTGAGATTTGTTTTGCTGAATGGATTTTTTTCCCTTTCTTTTTTTCTTTGCTCTTGTAGATGAGGACATCCCTGCAGATATGGTTGCAGAAGAATCTGGTCCAGGAGCTCAAAACAGTCCATACCAACTCCGTAGAAAGTCCCTGTTGCCTAAAAGAACCGTGTGCCCCACAAAAAACAGCATGGAGGTAAAGATTTTAATCTCATGAGAGTCATACTAACATATTTGGTTTGCACTTTGAGTTCTGAAGCCCTATTGCAATGTGTAATTGTTTATTTTTTCAAGTATGCGTTAGGTTGTTTGTACATTGAGTGAGAGACAGATTTATTTACTGAAAAGCATGTACACACTGTACACACTGCTCAATTTTTGTGATTGTACATGGCTCACGTGCTTAAAAGGTTTCCACATTTAACCAGTCCATTTTCCCAATTGGAAAATAAATAAAGATGAATAGATGTGTTATAAATTTAATTATAGCATTATATTTATTATATAATATTTAATTAGAGCATTTTTAATTATTTTAATATTTAATAATGTCCAGTGTTTATCCTATCATCATTATATTGGGGTGCCCCGCCCCCTCTAGAAAGTCAAGTCATTTAGTTTTAATTTCTATATTGTACAATATCACAACCATACATAATTTAAGGTTCTTTTTCTACAGAACATTAAACAAACTAATTGGCTTTGTTATTTTGAGATGCTCGGGACAGTAGACTGCTGTGTCACTAAAGTCTAATTTGGCTGTGATTGTTTGTCAATTGCATGCAAATAAGGTGCTTTCACACTTAGACGTTTATTTCGGAACCTGTCTCGTTTTCCCATTTGGCGCCATTTGTTTGGTATATGTGAGTCCCGCAAACACACTCAGATCCGAGCCAAATCAATCTGTCTGAGATCACCTGAATGAGGTTGTCTCGGTTCGATTGAAACGAACTCTGGAAAGGAACAATTGTACTCAGAAAGCAAAGTGATTTAGTTAATGAACTAGTCTATATTATGGTTGTGTAATAGCCATATATACGGCTATTGGCTCGTTTCCACTGACTGGTACAGTACGGTACGGTTCGGGCCGGTACGGGTCACCTTTATCAGGCTTGCGTTTTCACTAGCAAGGGTACCCTTTTGTTGGGCATGGTGTATGACAAAGTTTCAGTCGACGTCATGCTCGCTCAAGGAAATGTCTACAATAAAGCTGCACAGGTCGCTCGCATATCATATGAAAAGCACTTCTCACAAAACAGACGTTTTACACACAAATACTTCTGTTTAAATGTTTATTACTAACTTTTCTATGAGCATGAGTTGATTATTACTGCAGATCAATGACGGTGCGAAATAGCCCACTGTAACGTCTGTAATTATTTTAGATAAATAAATAAATAAATGAACATATGTGAACACATACAGACCCTTACAGTCCTCGATATGTTACCAACTACAGAAAAAGTACACACAGCATACATTTCGTCCTTAATTAGGTTCAAAACAACACAAAGTATAGCCTACAGTCAGTGAAAACCTCTCATCTGTGTCTGTAATCTTCAGCAGCACTTGTAGCCTCTGTTAGAGAGTCATTCCATCATTCCCAGTTCATATTAGTCCAAAAGGTGATAATAAAAATTAAAACAAGGCAGTTTGTTCATGTTTGCTGAAGAAATAACGTGCTCCTTGGC